AGAGTGTTGTTTAATCCCCACATATTTTGGGATTTTTCTAGTCATCTTTCTATTACTGATTTCTAGTTTAATTCCATTGTGGTCTGAAAGAACACATTGTATGATTTCTATTCTTTTAAATTTATTAATGTATGTTTTATACCCAGAATTTGATCTGTCTTGATGAATGTTCCATATAAACTTGAGGAATCTATATTCTGCTGTTGTTGGATATAAAGCAGTCTATCGATGTCAATTATATTCACTTGATTAAATGGTATTTTGGAGTTCAACTATGTCCTGACTGATTTTCTGCCTGCTAGATCTGTCAACTTCTGATAGAGAGGTGTTGCAATCTTCAACTATAATAGATTTATTTATTTCTCCTAGCAACTCTTACCAGTTTTGCCTCATGTCTCTTAACACTCTGTTATTAGGCATATACACATTAAGGCTGTCTTCTTGGAGAATTGACCACTTTATCATTATATAATGCCCTTCTTTATCCTTGGTATGCTTTCTTGCTCTAATATCTGCTCTGTCTGAAATTAATATAGTAATGCCTGCTTTCTTTTGATTAATGTTGGCATAGTACATTTTTTCTCGCCATTTACTATTAATCTTTAGGTGCCTTTATCTTTAAAGTGAATTTCTTGTAGATGATATATAGTTGGGTCTTGTTTTCTGATCTACACTGACAATCTCTTTTAACTGGTATATTTAGACTGTTGACATTCAAAGTGATTATTGATTTAGTTGGATTTCTAACCATATTTGTTAACTGTTTTCTGTTTGTTGCCTTTGTTCTGTGTCCTTATTTTTGTCTTCCATTGTTTATAAACTTTCATGATTTTGTTGAGTGATTTCTTTTATTCCATTTTCTCTCCTTTCTTAGCATATCAGTTATTATTTTTTAAAAAATTTAATGGTTTCCCTAGAATTTGCAATATAAATTTATAACTAACCTAAGTTCACTTTCACGTAACACTATACAACTTCATAGATAGTATGAGTATCTTATAATAAAATAATCTTAATTCTTCCATCTTGTCATTTGCATAATTGATACTCATTTCACTTACATATAAGTATACATAAGAATATATATCATATACATAAGCATACATAATTGAATGCATTGCTATTATTACTTTGATATTAAATCAGTTAAGAAGAAAAATAAAATATTTTATTTTATTTTCACTTATTCTATACTCTTCCTTTTCTTATGAAAGACCAATTTCTGAACTATATTGTTTTCTTTCTCTCTAAGGAACTTCTTTAAACATTCTTTGCAAGATTGGTCTACTGGCAAAAAATTTCCTCAATTTTTTCATGTATGTGAAAGCTTTATTTCACCTTCACCTTTGAAGGATAGTTTTGCAGGTTATAGAATTCTAGGTTGGTAGTTTGGGTTTTTTTTTTTTCTTCTCAACACCTTAATATTTCACTCCATTCTCCTCTTGTTTGTATAGTTTCTGAGGAGAAGCCAAATGTAATTCTTATTTTTGTTCCTCTTCGATTTTCTGTAGTTTGAAAATTACATGCCTCAGTGTAGTTTTGGCATTTTGGGGTTATTTTCTTTTGGAAGATTTTGGGGGGTTTCTTGACATCTATGCTACTTAGTATTTTCTGAGCTTCCTGGATCTTTGGTTTGGTGTATTAAGTTGGGAAAATTCTCAGTCATTATTGTTTCTGATTTTCTTCTGTTTCTTTCTCTTTTCTTTTTTTGGTATTCCCATTATACACATTATGCCTTTTGTAGCTGTCCTTTAGTCTTTGGATATTCTTTTCTGGGTTATTTTTGTTTGTTCTGCTTGCTTTTCTGTTTTGGATGTTTGTATTGATATTTCCTCATGCTTAGAGAGAGATTCTTTCTTCAGCCATGTCCAGTCTACTAATAAGCCTGCGTTTAAATTTATATTTAGTGTCTAAATTCTGTATTAAGTGGCAATTTCCTTGAGAGCAGAGTTTGTTTATCTTTGATTTCCTTACAACTCTTAGTAGAGTTCTCTATAACAAATATACATAAATTTTATTAAATACATGTATCATATTGTGTCATATGAGGTGTATATGTGCCATAAAAAGGTAGAATTAAATTACTAGATGAGTGAACATCTACTAATAGTGTCTCAGTCAAATGCTTAACTATATTTTCATTAGAAATGTATTTATGTGGCTGGGTGTGATGGCTCAAGCCTGTAATCCCAGCACTTTGGGAGGCCAAGGCAGGTGGATCACAAGGTCAGGAGTTCAAGACCAGCCTGGCCAATATGGGGAAAACTTGTCTCTACCAAAAACACAAAAATTAGCTGGGCATGGTGGCAGGTACCTGTAGTCCCAGCTACTCTGGAGGCTGAGGCAGGAGAATCACTTGAACCTGGGAGGCGGAGGTTGCACTAGGCCGAGATCACATCACTGCACTCCAGCCTGGGTGACAGAGTCTGAGACTCACCATCAAAAAAAAAAAAAAAAAAAGAAAGAAATGTAATGTATTTATGTCTGATTTTTGGTAGACTTCTTGGCCTGAATCTCAACCTAGGTTTTTGAACCAATGCTAAACAATCCTATTACAGTTCTGTAAACTTAAGTCTGGCTTGCTGACTACATTTATTAGCAAATGTGGTGACTCATTCTGATTGAGTCATAGAAAATAGTGTATAAAACCTTTGCCTTTATGTACTAATGACTGTGACTAATGACAGTGACTCTCCCTAATGACACCAAGATTGTACAGTTGACTCTTGAATAACATGGGGGTTTGTGCAGTTGAAAATTTGCATGTAACTAGAGAAAAGAAAGTGTCATTGAGAAAATCATAAGGAAGAGAAAATATACTATTTACTGTTTATTAAGTGCAAGTGAATCATGAAGATCTTCGTCCTCATCATCTTCACATTGAGCCTTTCCCCCTAATCTCCAGTCAATTTCTACATACCTATAATAAGCTGCAGTAAAAAACAGTAAAAACAGGTCTATATGATATATAGTAGGAGTTTTTGCACTTACTCCTTGGGTGACTAGAACAATAGGCTATAACATTATAAGTATTTTCTTTCAGTAATCTGAATAGTTCTGCTTCTGATTTGAGTAAGTTTCCATTTTTCTCTATTGAAAGGAGCAATGTCTACATGTTTAAAAAACAGTTGACTTGGTAAAGCACTGTGGTAGCCAATACTGATGTTCACCAAATACTTTCAGTTCCCTTTCAGAGTACCTGGTAGTTGTATGTATATCTTCTCCCATTGAAGTTAGATATGGTCATGTGATTGTTTTGTCAGTGAAATGAGACCAGAAGTTACATGAAGCTTTAAGAGCTAGTACATGTACATAATTTGCTATTTTACCTTTATCCTGCTGCAAAAAACTGTAGAAGTGCAGATACAGAGCCTCCCTTAGCCTAAGTTCCTGAGTAACAACAGCCTAGACAAGATCCCACCCCCTCAGTTGACCTGCTCGTGGACATGTAACATATTTTATGCCACTAAGATTGCGAGAATAATTAGATAAGCATAAGCTAGCTTATCCTGATTAAGATAGCCTTCACCCCGAAACAGCAGGCTTTGGTAGTTACTAGAGGAATATAAAAGATTTGATGTGCTAATATTGGCCTAGTATTTCTTTTTCTTCCTTACAGAAATGTTTATTTTACACAGCTTATATAAAATGATATTCATCTCAAGGTAATTAGAGTCATTCTCCATGTGTCAAAATATTTTTCTTTGAATTAGAATCTTTGCTTGAGAAATTTTATTTTATTTATTTATTTTTTTGAGTTAGGGTTTCATTCTGTTGCCCTGGCTGGAGTGCAGTCAGCCATCACTCACTGCAGCCTTGAACTCCTGAGCTCAAGCATTCCTCCCACTTCAGCTTCCTGAGTAGCTGGGAGTAAGGCATATGCTACCACGGCTAGCTAAGTTTTTTTTTATTTTATTTTTGTAGAGATGGGATCTTGCCACGTTGCCCAGGCTGGTCTTGAATTCCTGGCCTCAAGCTATCGTCTCGGCTTAGCCTTTTCAAAATGCTGGGACTACAGATGCGAACCACTGTGCCTGGCTGAGAAACTTTAATATCTTCTATAAGACGTTTTTTCACCTGCCAGTGATAGAATTGTAAATTTCTTGAAAGTAGTGACCATCATCATTCATTTTTGCATTTAACCTTTTATTTTTGTTGAGTGCTCATTATTTGCCAGGTACAGAGTCTAGGAAGATGTTCAGGGAACTCTAGATAGTTTGGTAAAACTGGCAGGCAGCAGGCAGGGCCAAAGACCGTAAAGTACTTTATTAACAAAGTTAACGTCTGGATACTTTAACAATTTCATAAGTGATCCATACTTCACTTTAAAATAGTTTAGCCACATTCAGTACTTAAGTTTACAATGCCATATTCAAGGTGACATAGACCAAGTTTTAATGCTTCTGAGACCACCAGTATATAATATTTTACAACTTAGTTAACTCCTTTTTACATATCTTAGAGCTACGCTTTTTCTCTTCTATCAGTATCTTTTAATTCCTCCAATGTGGCAAGTACCTTCTCACCTGGGGATCTTTGCACATGCCATTTTCTTTGCCTGTTTTCCCTTATTTTAGGAAAGCACTGGATGTCATTTCTATTGAAATTGCTGGTACCATCTTCATAGAAAGAATATATTTGTCTATGGCTGGTACCATCTTCATAGAAAGAATATATTTGTCTATGTTAGCTTGTTGTGCTTTTAGAAATCTACCAGTAAAATAGGAAGTTTTTCTCCCATAGCTAATGTAAAAATTAAGAAATAAGAAATTAGGTGCTGTCAGAAAGTTTAATTATCTCAGTTATCACAGAAGAAAATTTTCTCATCACATTGCCAGGTGGTTTCAAGCAACTATTATTTACAAAATTAAAAAACTTAAAAGCTAGGTTCTATTTCTGGTCTTTACTGTAAAAACCTAAATACCTTTTGCAGAGGTAGTGTGGAAGAATAAGGTTCCCTTTTCATTCTCTCTCCCATCATCTTCTGCCTTTCCTTCTAGGGATTCTTCAGCAAGCGCCTGAAAGGCTCCATCAAGAGGACCAAAAGCCAGTCAAAGCTTGACAGAAACACGAGCTTTCGGCTCCCATCCCTTCGCAATACAGATGACAGGTAGGAGGTTAACTTTCTTAAAACAAAAAAAGCAGTTTGAGAGTGAATTTTGTTAAGGCATTTTGGTCTTTTCTGAATTTGAATCAATGACAAATAGAAAAATACAATAAAAAAGTGACTTTTATGTCTTGTTCATATTAAGGCAAGATACAAAATATTGACTCAACTACCCAGCCAGTTTAAGAACCTTATAATATTGGAGAGTTTGTTAAGCGGTTTCTATAGAATCAAGTTATAATGGTGAGAGGTGTATCATTTATTTTGTTTTTGGTAGAATGACTATAAAGAATAATGATTTATGATAGCTAAAAAGTTTCAGCACTGTCACGGGATGCTTCATACTGTTGTATCTTGTTTCATCTTTATAATAACCCTATATGATAAATATTACATCATCACCATTTTATAGATGAAGAATCTGAAGCACAGAGAGGTTAAATGATCTTACCCAGGGCTGTGGTATTTGAACTTGCGCAGTTTGGCTCGAGTCCCTGTCTTTTACTGCTACTTTCTGTATGTACAGCATATGAAATCGACCTTGTTGGTTTGTAATTACAACTAGAAGACATGTGCTGAAAAGGAAGCCTGGATGGATTTCAATAATTAGGACCACTAGCTTGACTAATCCTCAAATGTACAGCTCCCTAAGGGTGATACCCTTTGAAAACCATTGAATGTGTGCTAACACATTTTTGACGCGTTATGTCTCAATAATGTTCAAAATTTTGGAAATAGTGCTTGTGGTATCGGCATTAGCACATCATTATCGCCACTAGTATTTATTAAGTACTTATTCTATGCCATACACGTTAAATGTAGTCTCTCATGTAATGCATCAACCCCAGATACTATTATTGTCATTTAAAAGATGAGGAACTGAGGCATAAACAGTTTGAGAAACTTGCCCAGGGTCACATAGCTAGTAAGTAGTAGAGCTGGGCTTTGAACTCAGGTCTGCCTCTCATATTTGATACTCTTATTTATGGGTTTTGTTTTTTTTTTTTTCAGTAAGTGACTTTGTTTTCAGTTATCTACCTGGAAAACAGAAATAAAATTATAGATTTGCCAAGCAGATGATTACTGTCTTTATTTTGTAAATGAAGGGACTTGATGAGGGACTATTGCTTTATTAGCTCTTCTTGAACCAAATTAAAGGTGCTCTGTGAAATTTGCAAGTCAGCCCAATTTGCAGTATGTGTATTTATGTTATTATTATCTCTTTTATACTTCTTTAAGGTAATCATAAAAAATGATTTTTAAAATACTTTTCTTAGTTTCCTATTATTCTATCATTTTCATAATTCCAGGAAGTCAAAGCATTTTATGAATGTCTCAAAAAAATAGAATAGTAATTTTTTTCAGATTTTTGATTCTTAAGAACAAATATGTTGTGCAGCAAATAAAACACTCCCAATTCAATAGCCAGTGTCTTAAACTCTGCAACATCATATGGAAACTTGGGAGACAAGACTTTTTTTTTATAAGCTTACCTTATTTTTTAACCTTGCACTAAATATTTCCCTCTTCATTTCAAACAAAGAGCTCTCTCCTATTCCATTTTGTTTTAGGTTGCCCATGGGGACTGCTTGAATTACCAAGAGATTATATTCTCCCAGAGTTTCTTGTTTTGCTATTATATAGTTACTATATTTTTAGCCTTTCCAGTAATCTAAATGTATTATTTGTGACTTTTATGCTGTTATGCTTTAATCAATAGCAAAGTCTTTCTTAAGTACAGCACAATAAAAAAGTGCTAGTAAATCTCAAATATTAAGTAACCCTTTTAATTTATCAACTCCATTTGAATAGCAGAGGTTTTCTGTACAGAAATTTTTCAAAAAAACTTTATTTTTGTATAGGGATGTACTCAATAGAGCTTGAATGTGTTACCATTTTTTAAAAAAAGACTCTTGTCTTCAGATCATGTGAACACTCAGAAATAGAGCTAAGGTACAAGATATTGATCAGCTGAGTTCTTTGAATTAGTGGCCTTATAGGTGTGAACAAGTATTTTCTGAAGACCTCTGATTTTCTTGGTTCAGATGCATCAATTGCTGAAGTCAACCACTTCTTTCAAAATGGTATACAGGTCGGGCATGGTCACTCACGCCTGTAGTCCCAGCACTTTGGGAAGCTAAGGCAGGCAGATCACAAGGTCGGGAGCTCGAGACCAGCCTGGCCAATATAGTAAAACCCCATCTCTACTAAAAATACAAAAATTAGCTCTCCTCTCTTCCTTTCTCTGCCATCGTGATGTGTGCTTTACTCCGATTCTCGCCATGTCTTCTCATAAGACTTTCAGGATTAAGCGATTAAGCGATTCCTGGCCAAGAAACAAAAGCAAAATCGTCCCATTCCCCAGTGGATTCGGATGAAAACTGGTAATAAAATCAGGTTCAACTCCAAAAGGACATTGGAGAAGAACCAAGCTTGGTCTGTAAGAAATTACACATGCGATGGCACACATATTTGTGCTGTCTGAAGGTCACAGTTGTGTTACCAAATCAAGCTGAAAAATGTCACCGCCATCTGGAGAAGTTTGAACAGTTTCCTTTCTGTATCTGTTATGGAGGCATTAGTTAGTATAACCCACAGTGCTTCCATTATTCACGTTAAAAAAAAAAAAAAGTAGAAGGTTTTGGTTGCCTGGGTTCAGTAATAAATATGTGAGACCTTTCACTTCTTAAAAAAAAAAAAAAATACAAAAATTAGCTGGGCGTGGTAATGCATGCCTGTAGTCCCAGCTACTCGGGAGGCTGAGGCAGAAGAATCGCTTGAACCCGGGAGACAGAGGTTGCAGTGAGCCAAGATTGTGCCACTGCACTCCAGCCTGGGTGACACAGCAAGACTCCATCTCAAAAAAAAAAAAAAGAAAAAGAAAAAGAACAAAATGGTTGGTGTACAGTGTCTAAATCTAAGTAGCAAAACATTTTTATTCTATTATCCAATCTATGGAACCGCTAGTTAAATGTAGTAAGCAGCTTTTTTTTTTTTCCAGTTTTGAAATTATAAAGTAAAATACTCATTTGTCTTTGCTGTTTTGGAGGGGAAAAAGGTTTCAGTATATAAGTAGAGAGAAAAAGAACTAAATACCCTCTTTATCTTCCCTATCTCCCTACATAAATAACCTTATTAACAATTTGTATATTTTCAAACCTCTTTAAAAACCTATACATAAAGGGAACTCGAATATATGTTTTCCATGTTTCAGTATAAATAGGATTATATTATGTATTACTTTGTGACTTACTTTTTAGTATAAATATTTTGTACTCTGTCAGTAAATGTCAGTTCACACCATTCTTTTTAACATCTGAATCTTCTCATGCTACAGTGTTTTTAACATAATGTACCTCACTTCTGTACTGATGGACATTTACATTGCTTCTCTTTTTTGTTACAAAATAGAGATGTCATAAACATTTTTGAACATGTACCCTTTTGTACTGGTGACTGGGTTGGATTTCAGAAGTAGAACTGCTTGGTATATAGTATGTATGTTATCAAATTTTCCTTAAAAAAACGACCTTTCTCACCAACAGATTAAGATTACTTTTGTCATTCAGACAACCTTTTCCATGTTATCAATATGTTGAAATAATATTAATAATAAACACTTATGTTGTATTTATTATGTGACACATAATATTCTATTCTAAGTACTTGATGTAAACTAACTCATTTAATTATCACAACCACCCAAGGAGATAGTCATTGTCATTACCCCTATTTTGAAGATGAGAAAACTGAGACACAGAGAAATTCATAAATTTCCTGAGGTTATACAGCTTGGAAAGAAGTGAGGTTCAAACCCAAGAAGATTGACTTTAGAGCCTATATTTTTAACCTTTACTGTATATTGCATCTCTAAAAGATGGGATGGGGGAATGTCTTTGTTTTGATATGTATTTTGCCAAAGCTTAGTATATTGAGTATCCTGTCACATATTTTCTTCTTCTGTGACTTAACCTATTTCCTTTACCCATTTTTCTGTTGAGTTGTTTGTCCTATTTTTTATGATTTGGAATAGCCCTTTTTATTACTAGAGATAGTAAGCCACTACTATGCATGTTGCTAAAATTTTCTCCCAATCTGTTTCTTGTGTTTTAAAATCATGTCTTCTAGTTACATGGAAGTATTCAATTTTTCTTTCTCTGTTATATCAGTCTTTTTGTGTGTGTGGCTTATTTGGTCAAGTTCAATCAGAACAGTGAACTCAAGAGGTGAGGAACCTGTTTCTTATTGATGCTGTGCAAATCACTTTATTTTTCCCTACTTCAAGAGGGAGAAATATTCTGTCTGGAGCTATCCAGAGGATAATGAAATAGTGGACATGATATTTGGAAATCTTCAAAGTGGTTTTTTTGTTTGTTTGTGGGGTTTGTTTGTTTGTTTGTTTGTTTGTTTGTTTTTGGAAACAGTGTCTCGCTCTGTCACCCAGACTGGAGTGCAGTGGCACGATCTCGGCTCATTGCAACCTCTGCCTCCTGGGTTCAAGTAATTCTTCTGCTTCAGCGTCCCGAGTAGCTGGGATTACAGGTGTAAGCCACCGTGCCTAGCCAGAAATCTTCAAGTTCTTTGAGATGAACTACAAACCTTATCTTGACTCATATCATTTTTATTTTTATTTTTTGAGACAGTGTCTTGTTCTGTCACCCAGGCTGAAGTGCAGTGGCATGATCACAGCTCACTGCAGCCTTCACCTCTTGAGCTTACTTAATCCTCCTGCCTCAGCCTCCTGAGTAGCTGGGACTACAAGCACACACCACCATGCCTGGCTTATTTTTATACTTTTTGTAAAGATGGGATTTTGTCATGTTCCCTAAGCTGGTCTCATACTCCTGGGCTCAAGCAATTTGCCCGCCTTGGCCTCCCAAAGTACTAGCATTATAGATGTGACTTGGTTGATCAAGAAAGACCTTAGTGGCTACAGGTTTGTCTTGTTATAAACTCTGTTAGGAGGCCCTGATGGAATTTGTTACCAGTGCTGCTTTTTGGGT